ATCTCTAGCGGGACGATTAAGCTCTGCAGCTTATGCTGTCTGGAAGATCCGACAGTTAACCGACATAGACACGGCAAGACTAGTGTACTTCAGTTACTTCCATAGCATCATGTCGTATGGCATTTTGCTGTGGGGACACGCTGCGGACACTGAGTCTATCTTTATCTTACAAAAGCGCGCCGTCAGAGCTATCTACAACCTGGGTCGTCGCGAATCTCTCAGAGAAAAGTTTAAGGAGATCAACATTATGACCGTTCCATGTCAATTTATTTATGAAAACATTATGTATGTTAGGAAGAACCTACAGTTGTTTGGTAAAGTGTCTGACAGACACCACTATCAAACTAGACATAGGGATAGACTAAGTCAGCCACTATTTAGATTGACAAAAGTACAAAAGTCCTTTATGGGATTCTGTGTTAAATGCTATAATAAAATTCCGGAGGAAATACAACATTTAAATGAGTCAAAATTTAAATTATATATTAAAAAAACGTTATGCGGAAAAGCATACTACAAACTTAATGATTACATAGAGGATAAAAATGCTTGGAGGCATGCTGGTCCGGCTCCACAGGATAGCGAAAAACATTGATGTTCCAATGAGTTCCAATCATGTCAAATACAGCCATTTTGTTCAAATGTACACACTGTAAAACTTTATATAGGTAACTATTGTAAATGTGAGAGCCCTGTAACTACCTAAATTAAATTAGACTAGTAGAATGCATGTGTGTCAGCCTGGAGTTGTCATGCTCACTCAAAAGTCTCATTGGCAGTGGCACGGGCAGTGGATCGCTCGATTCCCTATAACATGGTCGAGTTGGGCGGTGCTGGTGTACGTGTCATGTTCGTGAACGGGCGCTGTCAAATGGGACTGGTCAGCTCCAGACTGTATTAAATTTGTTGTCCTCAAGGTTATTTTCTTTTTCCGTCTCCTTGACCAAATATTGGTATTACATTGTTCTCACATTATTGAACTCAACGGAAGAATGTAACCAAAAATTGTATTGTGAACATGATTGAAAAAGAGTAACCTATGGAGTTTCTTGCTCGTTCTTCTCCATAGGAATCTACACTTTGGAACGAGCAAATAGCTTCACTAGAGGACTGACTTACAGACTGACACATTTTTTTTTTTTCTTATTATTTAGTATTTAAATATTTTGTTTTGACGTTCAAAAGTGCCTTACTGGTCTAATTGAAATAAATGATTTTGACTTTGACTTTGACTTTGACTTTATTTTTCTATAAAATAAAACCTTCTGAAAGGCCAGGCCTAACTGCACGATTGGCGGGGTGGCTGGACAACCGACTGCTGCACATGATGTAGGGTTCGATTTCTGAACGGAGCAACTCTTTGTGTGATCCACAAATTCTTGTTTCGGGTCTGGGTGTAATGTGCATGTGAACTTGAATGTCTGTAAACGATAACGACTGTAAAAAATATATTTTTTTTTTATCCAAAATAGTGGTAGTATTAGTTATTAAGGCACCTTTTTAGTAATCCATACAGTCTATGTTATACTCACTGTCCAGCTATATTTAGACAAGACCAAAATTATTAGCCTGCTTCAGGCAAGTGGTGATCAAAGCTCACTCTTCTAGGGAATCCTGTAAGAAAAGGCCTTGCCCAGCAGTGGGACGGACAGGTGAAGGTTACTCGCTAGTACTGTATACAATATGAGCACAACGTGGACACAATATAAGTTGCTGACATTTTGGGAAAACTGTAAATAATTTGTTTGCAAGCAGACACTTACACTATCTACAGTTTCTTAGTAAATTTTCGTAATCGATGTAACTTTAAAATATCTAATATTGTATAAAGATGATTTTGGTATCGTAGACTGCCTCGTTAGCCGAGTCGCGACTGCCTTTTTTTTTGAGAGGGGAAGATCATACAATGACTTCTCCCGCCCGGGTGAGGCGGGAGGGAGTGTCAGACTCTTACTGACTAAAAACCACCCCTTTCCTTCTCCTGCACGTCGAGACGGAGCCCCGGTCACTCGTTAGGTTCTCCGTGACTCCGAATCGGCATCGGCACTGTTGGGCCCCATCTGTGGTGATTTGATGGCTCTTTGAGGCGTGCGCGGAACGCGACACGCCGTACGCTCGGGTCTGTTTCTGGTCGGACGCGGAGCCACCCATGGTCGGACGGGGAGCCACGGCAAGGGGTCTCGGCTTCAATTCCCGTGTCGGGCAATAAACTAGGTTTTTGAAAAAAGTCTCAGTAGTGGCATGGAGCTTGAAATTGTGATCGGTATATGGCAATAGGCTAACCCCCTATTACATGGGACTTATAACATAAAAAGTGAAATGTGGGTGTTACACTGTACAGTGGTATTAATTGATGTAATGTGTCGAAAATCGATTGTTGTCGTCTTTATTCAACATTGTGTATACACTGGCCAGCAGATCTAATTACTCTAATCTGAAAATTTTATTTATTAGATTTTCGACTTTATGTCGATGCAATAAAGTTGAAAGTTGAATGTTACAGAAAATGATTGGTTGACCTGCTAGCCGCCGTCCCCGTACATTAATCATAAAATGATAAATCTTAGTGCTTATTGCATACTAGACGCCAATTATATGTTTAAGTCCGCCTTATGTACCTTATTTTGTGTGCATTAAAGTGTAAAATAAATAAATAAATAAATATATGCTCACAAACTCGACAGATTCTACTGATTAATTTCGTTATTAATAATAAATTAATCAATCATATAATGATCACCTTAATAGGAATGGGTAGATTGGAACAATTTGAATTAATAATGTGATTCATTTCTTCATTAGATATGCTTAATTCACTAGTGCAACATTGTGCATCAGGTGCACTTGAATGCACTGAAACTTGGTATGCGCTGAATGAACCCTTTTGGAGCATTTTCAAATTTTAAAATGGTTTTCTCCACCAGCTCATGAATAATTACGTGATCATGAGCTTTCTACGATTTGATTATTAACAGTTTAGAAGCGTACTTTCATACATACACTGCTAAACTTAACATTTTCTGCGGATACTTGACCTTCTTTCTACGAGATAGCATGTAACTAATAAAGGTACTGGTTGGTCGTAGATGTCTGGTCCAGAGCGTGGTTCGAAGTATCGATACAAGTAGTACCTGCTCAGCACAATACTCTTACGTTTCATCAATCGCAGAACCCGCACTTCGCTGCAGCTCCCAGCTTGCACGCTTACCACATCTGAGTATGAATGTGCTGTAGTGCGCTACTTACCGCCACAGATTAATAAATTGTAGAGTTTTCTATTAAGAGGTTTACATAGATAGTGTTGTTTTTGTTTTCATTGATAGTTTTCCAAGTAGACTTTAGTATAATTATCAGCGATTCAGTTGTAGTATCGATCAGTAAAAATAAGCTAAACAGATAATTTCTTCCATAAGAAAAGAGTACGTAGGTATTTAATTTCCATATAGGAAAAAGTATCTAAGTTTCCTTGTATTGATTTCATTTATCTGGAACGTCATGGAATAAGATAAGAACCTATTGGTATAAGCTGGTCATATTTCATAGCACATTCGAATATAGAATGCGACTGTTAGTCAAAGCTGTCCCACAATTTATCGCAATACAGCTTGTCTCATGCATACTCGAGAGACAGAGATAGTCTTTGTACGGCGGCCGAAGTCTTGTGCAATCTTGTGCGAACAAGCCATGTTTATTCGGTCGAACATTCTAGATAGCGGCGAGCCGGAATTATTTGTACGTTTGTCTATTCCTGTCCACTCGTGGGGATAAATCAATGTGGAAGCCACGCTCACTACACTGCATTTGCTTTGGAAATTGTTAAATTGAAGTTTATTTTGCTAGGTGTTAAGTTAAATAAGGTTACAGGTTGTGAATGGTTAGTCATTAGAGCGAATACATATGAACGGAAGCGAGCACTGCTTACTAGTCAAAATTCATAAACTGGGAGCATTGAGATTGTCGCTGATAAATATAATCTGGTTTATGAACAAATTATTTCTTTCTTAAACTGTCAAACACCAAGCGGTCACCGGTGACCGCAACCTATTGTTCTATAATTGTGTCTATAAAACCGTAACTTAAACTGTCAAACACCAAGCGGTCACCGGTGACCGCAACCTATTGTTCTATAATTGTGTCTATAAAACCGGTACTCGACGAGTTAAATATGAAACGGGAAATTTAATTAAGAATGAATCGATTAAAATTTACTTTTTCTTTTATTTTCTTACGATTTGCTGCATTGAGTCATGGAATGCTAGAACATAACAGTTGACAATACAATGATCATTCATAATATGTATGCTACGTGTATATCGATACAAATATCACCACTACTGAAGATTTTTATATATACCTATATATTAAATGTGAATAGAATGACATAAAGCATGGTGCACACTCGGCGGTAATCCAGCGACCTAAATACACGCGCCGCGTGTGTCATCACATCGAGACGCCGGCTTAAAAAGGTAGCAACCAGTTGATACTGCCGACGATTTCATTCCTCCCAAAGAAAATATTGTACTTAGCGAGATTATGAAAAGAAAAAATATAATTTCTGAGATTGGCACTCCCGCTTCAAAAGAGTGAAGATATATTTTTGCTTATTCTCGTACTAAATCGCTTTCCTGTGTTGGTTTTAATGCGATTTTATTATGAAAAAAGCAAATAAGATATTCACCTGAGTGCTTCACATGAGCCGTATTTGATTTCATTTTACGTTTACATGTTTCGCATATTCGTTTGGATGCAAAAATAATAACAATGTATCAAATGTTGCGTCCCCGCCGCGCGCCGCGATGTAATGTAGCCGACGCGGGCGTGGCGCGGCTGCGTGCGGCAACGCGCGGCAGCGTGGCTCGTTATTTAGCAATATGGAATGTCAATGTGTATTTCACTTACACTCGTTTTTCATTTCGATCGTGATCCCGTTGCTAATAGGTGTCGTGTTCGTGAAATAAAATGCAAACTTTTTTTAATAATATTTATTAATACTCCCTTTTTTCTTATTACAATTTATGTACAAGATATAAAACAAATTAAATCAACCCTTTCATTAATCAGTTTGTGGGTACTCAGTAATAGCCACAGTAATAAAAACGTTCCGTCCTTCAATCGTACAAATAAGTCGTCGAATTACATTTAATAACATCATACTACGCGTTATTTAAAGGAACATAGCTATGTATATTTCTGCTACCGTACTATCGCAATATTTCAGTATTAAACTACTTTACAAGTATACAAGAAGATGGAAAAAGTGTAGAGTAGGCGGCGCGGCACGACGCGGCGTGACGCGGCGCGGCGCGGCGCGGGCGTCGAGGCAAGTGGTACGCGCTCAATGTACGCCGCGTAAGTAACGAGCGACGCGAGAAAATCAATTAGACACTCCACCTTAAATAACCCCAAATTTACTTCGTCGTAAACCTAATAAGTCTCGTTTTACGCAGCGTAAATTGACTCTGTACGGGTCTAGATTAACATGAAAATTAAATTCTATTACCTGCGATGAAAATTCAATTTATACATAAAAGTTTTAGTGGAAAACAGTCAATAGATTCTTAATAATTATTTGTCGTTATTCCCTAGTAATTACAGGTTCAAGCCTCTTGTCATTGGAAACTGAGATTGCGGGACATTGTATTTAGAATATTTATGACATGAGAGCAGCGAGTTTGATACAGCGGCGGCGGCGCGGCGGTGCCGTGAGCTTGTGAAGGCAAAGTTTAACCGTAGGCTTGTTGGGCAAGTTGTCTGTTTGTAATTCCCAACACAAACTTATTTGACACTGCAACACCCACAGGTGAGTCTCGTACTAGTTAGGGAGTAGAGCAGGGCAGGGGGTGGAGGGTGTTGTGCGGCTTTATTTGCGGTAAATAGTCCTTATAATATACGCAACGAAAACACTAAAAATATACACGAGGTAAGCGTTACAATTATAATAAGATAATATTTTATTACGACCGTATTATGGTGTAAGAATAACTTAAATGTTTTAAAGTTAATTATAACATTATTCACTCGTTAACAAGATTCAAAATTACTTTATGTTTCTCTGAATATCTTCCCACAAACTGAACTAAAAGTACACATACTACCTACATGTTTTATTCATTGAAAATTTATGTTTCCAATGAAAAGAGGCTTTAGTTTAGATAAATAGGTTGTTCTAAGAACAAATTAAGAAAAACAGTTTTTCACCACTCAATGGTAGAACGACTAGGTACTTCATTATCCAATCTTATCATTAAACTCATTTATTTTGTATTTACAACAATACGAAATATTTACAATGCGATCTGATATAAACTTTATTTATTCTACATTATTACGTATAGTTTACTTTATTTACAAAAAATGTTTTACATTCACTTGTGTCTTAAACAATAATTCGTCAACAAAATTGTTCATTACGTTTCCAAAATTATACTAATTTATTGTAACTTAATGAGCATTGTTCAACGAAATCACATTTCATTCAAAATAAAACACAATAATACTGACCGTCGTAATAATCACAAATTTTGCAAAAATGACAATTTAATAACAATTCCTAAATTATTTCTATTATTAGTTTAATATTAAGTCTACAACGTTCGATGGGGTCGGAGCTGTACTAGTTCTAGTAAATGTTTAATATTACAACAACACAATGTTATCACAATTTACTTCACCGTGTCAGTGTCGGAAGAGTTCCACTTCTAAATGGTAATAAAGTAACTCAATCTGTCCGTCTACATGTACCTATCTATAAACTGATATTTGTGCTAACAGTAAAAGAGAGCGGGCGAGCAACGAGTCCTCTTTCAATATTGAAACTGTATTACATGCCAAAAGGATTTGCACATTTAATTATACTAATCAAATAACTTGAGTAACAAATTAGATTTCTGACTTTATAAAGTAAACATTAAAATAACGAAGAAATACATTTTTATCCGGTGTCCGTGACTGGAATGTCGTGTTACAATAAAACGGAATGCTCGGTAAATAAAGGACGCTCCGTGCCCCCGGCGCGCGGCGACATCTGGCGGTTAAGCCGATCATCTGCAGACGGCCGACGATAGCAGGTAGGTGACGATGGCACAGCTCAGCTGTGACGTGAGGTAGGACGACGCTCGGTTGCTTGTCTGCATCGCTGCTGGGTGCTCGCCTGCATCAGACGCAAATACATGACATTCTGTTGTAGGTATGCATACAACAATACCACAGGTGACACGGACACTCAAAGTGATAGAATATTAATTATAAATTACTCCATACCTACTAAAATGACATAAAAATGTGAATCGTGTTTATCACAAAATAAAAAACAGAATTGAGAATAACGATACTAGTGTAATCTGAAACAGTCCCGTAAAACGATATGTACTGACCATTGAGAACGTGCACAGACACAGAGGCAGGGTGAGCGTTGTTGGGCACACAGGTGTAGTTGCCGGAGTCCGTCAGCGCGGCCTTCGTAACCAGCAGCTTGCTGGTGGTGCCACCTTCAGTCTTCTCCGTCTCCAAACTGATCCCCCCGCGAGGGGAGTCGAAATCTACCACTGAGTTACCGTGGTACCTATTGGAAGATATGTTGGAATGTATGTAGTGTTTGCAAAATAATACATAAATTGGAAATTTTAAGACAAAATTCGAACAATAACCAAACGTCGGTTAGAGCTGCAGAGTAAAATTCAACGAATTGGAAACCAGGTCAAGCACACATAGGTAGGTATCGGTGGCGTCCACGTAAATATTGCGAACAATAATATTTACCATAAAATTGAGGCAGTAGAGGGCGGCGACGAGTGCACATTCACTGAACACGTCAGCGATATTGTGCTGCCTTTCTTCACGTACACGTCCTGCGAACCCCATATGGTCGCCGCAGCCGCTGCAACAAATGAAACAGAACCTTCACTACATAACTTTACAGTACACAATCCCGTGGCGACAATCGTACAAACACTAGAAAATGCTTGCATATTTACAAATCGTATTCAAATGGGAATTCAGGGCTGATAGGTAAGGTTTTCAAATCTCAGGTAATGAAACTAGTAACATTTGGGAGCTACCGACATTGGGAGTATTACAACGGTCCGTGTTTGCGTTGTTTAAGGTAAAAGGTTGAAAGTTCTCGATCAATGAGTCTTGATAGGACATGTTTCGTGCAAACTTATGAACATAGTCTAATGAGATTGCTTCTTCCAAGGTTTGTTACTTATGGTGCCCTCCACTCAGTTACGGTTGCATGAAGATACATTAAAGTTTGTATATAAATAAATCTCAGTTGGAATCCCTTGTAAATGTTCCAGGGCCTACTTAAACAAGACAATAATGATGATGCAACTTTAAAAGCCAAGTCGAGCCAATTTCACTTTGACTAAACCTAATTTGACTTTAAAAAGTGTTTAACTTAGCATTATGGCTTTCTCTAACTTACTCAATTCCAAACACTGGTTGACGTAACGACTAAAACGTTTATTTTTATTATGGCAACCCACCGATTTGGATGTTGGCAATAAAATTTTATTCTCATTTCTGTGGCGCAGTATTTGACAGTAATAGCTCGTCGGCCAACTTTAGAATCCATTCAGTTCGGCCATATTTCTTTTTTCTTCATTAGCTGTAAGCTATACTCTCGATCTGCAGAGACAATCATGCATCTGCCTACACTTTATACAATCAGACGATGGAGATCAACAAATATGGGCTACACAAACTGATCGCTACTGCATGGACCATCGCACTTTCAGTTCATGCAAATCAAAAAGCGCTACGTCATCGTATGCCCAACCAAACTCCATCTAATATCGAACAAAACATCTCGTGCTGTCAACAGAAACACGAAAACTAAGCCGCTACGAATAGATGAAAGTATTATGAAGTACTAATGAATAAACAAATGAAAAATGTAATTAAAAATGAAGAGAAGGATACGAAACCGGTACCTGAGGAGCGGGGCGGGGCCGAGGTCGCGAGGATGAGGGACTCATCTGGAATTCACAAGACAACAGCTTAGGAGAGGGCGAGGAATACAAAACAGCATGTGACCCTACCGGAGATGCATCGAAAGAGTTGAACCTAGTATTAGATTTGGTAGAATTAGCGATACAGCGACATAGCAATGGAATGGAAATTAGTGAACTGGGAGTGACTGGCAAACCGATGTCGCGGACGACCTTGACGCACTGTTTATTATTCAAATCACAGTTTGTACAGAAGTCTAGAGACTAGAAAATGGGGGATGACGTGATAGAATTATAACTATGTCTCGAGTGAGCTCAACTGGGGAGTTTTAGAGAACTATCAATTAGAATAGTTTAGACCCCGCCACGAATAATAAAATTGTATAGGATAGAGAAGAGGGAGAGTTTCTACGAGTCCACTTACCATAAATCTGCGTGCTTAGTGATTGTGAATATAATTTTATCAATGAATTTATATTTGATAAAATTAAAATCAAAGCGCTATAATATACTTTAATTAACTACTTCGATGGATTAATTTAAAAGGAAAATTCCCCACATTTAAGTAGCACGACAACAGCAGTGTGGGCGGTTTATTGTCTTTCGATTTTCTTCTTCGTTGCTTGGAGTAAACTTGCTAATATCTATTATGCTAAATACTACAACGTTAATTGGTAGACAGAGCGCCAATTAAAATTGTTAGTCTACATAAATTACACGCACAATATTTATTAGTGTTTATATTATAATACTATTTTATAGAGCCTAGAAAACTGAGTTGTACTATCCACGTTCAGGTAGTATGAGTGAAATTATTAGACAGTGATGATAACCAAGTAAACATACGCATTTATTACACTTTGTGCATCGATGAGCACATTCACAGAACCTGCAATCGGAGAACTCATTCAATATAGTTTTATAAAAATTCAAGTATCCATAAAACTATACAACTCAGTGAAGCATTGTCGGACATTTTTCAACAATAACAAGCCCTGTAATTGGCTGTGAGGTGAATTTGAGAGGTTCGCATGATGTATCTAGCGGCGAAGCGTGCACTAACAAATTGGCTACTATGAAAACGAGTCGGTAAAAAATAGTGCTCATTTAGGCAACAGCGGTTTTGGTAACGAAACGGATTTGTTCCGGCACATAAGTCACCTAATCGATAACGAACTTTGAGTCTTACACTCCGGATTATATAAAATAGATCGAGTCCATTTTTCTTGTCGAAATGTTACTTGTGTAATGTCGTCTAGTCTGAGTCTAGTAGAGCGGGGACAGGATACTTTGTAATGATAGCTCGTGCCGGAACACTACCAGCCATTTTGTTTTTATTTCATTCTTGATTCACTTTAACTTTATGAATATTTGTTGTATCGAATTCTGTCTGTCTTATTCGTATAGTTAATCAAAATTTTCGTGGCTTCATTTAAGTTAATTTTGTTTTCAACACAAAAATGTTGCTAAATATTTGTATAGCTCTAGTTAAAATAGAAAGTATAACTTTCTTGCTTGCAAAACTTACAACGAAGTCACACAAAATGTTGTGCTGTTCTTTTAAAGTTTACGGTAAAGAGCAAAAATAAAGAATATTTTAGAAAGTGAAACTGATACAAAAAGGGCCATTGGGTTCCTAAGAAAGTAAATATATCGCCAAAAATAGAACACCCACTCACTTGTATAATATTTTACTTTGGGTAAAAATCTGACCATTTTAGTTGGTGAAGTATTAAATCAGGATATTCAATAATATAGCTATCGAATACTGTCCACACTTTTGCTGATGCGAGTTATATACAAATATTCACGCTAAGCACTTATAATCCGCGTTTTATAATTAAAACCATAAGCTGTAGAGAGGCGGGCGGCGGGCGGCGGGCGGTGAGCGGCGGGCGATGCAAACACTCAACGGATAGAGTTATTTTGTAGGGGCGAGTTTATAATGTTTCATAACGATGGAATAAAATTTAAGTGACAACAGCGTGTGCTCTAAACTTTCCGGGATGCGGTTAACTTAAAAGGGTTATGCTTTTTTATTATATAATCTGTGTGAGCGGGAGTTTGTCGTCACACTGCCTCGCTCATCTGTAGTGTGACAGTTGGCAGGTAATACTAAACAAAACGTGAAACAAGGAGCATTATGTTTCTTCTTAGAATAGGTCGTTATACGGTATTTACACTATTTATTTTTCTTAAAAATATCTTGGAAAATTCTTCTTATATACACGCAAAGTATAAACATAATTCACAGCAAGTAAACAATAAATTAATAAAATTATTCCGATACTATTTCTCAGTTGACATAAAGCCCAACAAAAAGATTCAAATTCGTTGTTATATCAGTGCGTAGGGAATAGTAAACATCGTACATATTTGCAAGATAAAAGCATTTTCCTGCTACATGAACAAGGACAGAAGAATTTCTCAGTCCATTGAAACATAACAGTAATAGTTTTCCCCATATTTTTTCCTGAATAATCTGTGTGAGTCCCAGTACTTTCAGGCCAATCTACCGTGTGCCTATTGATTTGAACGCAGCCGTGAGTTTTACTTTGACAACTCATGCAACTCATGTGATTGCCTGAACTCAATGATTATTTAATTGCCGTCCTCCGTCTTTCAAGGGAAGGTTTAGTATCTGATGAATTTATTTTGCAAACTTGATTGGATTATATTTCTGCGATGTTTGTAGGTAGTATTTAGCACATCATATGTGTCTCTTAAATGAAATTGTAGGAAGACAACATTTAATTTTAGTTAAAAGGATTTCGTCAAATATCTTCTTGTAAAAACATAATTCGTTAATAGCATTTTACGTCGACAATTACTTAAAAGTTAGCTAAAAACCTTAATCTGTTTTAGAGACGAATTTTTTTCTTCTGAAATCAACAAAAAATAACACAGGTACTTTTTAAGGTAGCAATTTGTTTAATTAACCAACTCAATTGTTTAGACCTTGACCCGCTTTGTCGCGAAGTTTTTATAAAGAGCCTGGCGGCGGTTTAATTCTAAAGATTCATAATCGGATAAAAAAATACCACCGTTTACGTCGCTAATGGGTTCTGCAGAGATATTTTCCTGGCTGTTAGTAATTACCCGCTTTTACCTACACAGTACACACTAATCGTTTGGGAGAACGATGTCTTGTTTTCTATTGCTGAGTGATATATCGTATTTAGGTTATAAGAAGTACCCAAGTAGGTAAAAGTTACATGTGGAATATTGCAAGGGAAAAGATGTAATATAAGTTTGTGGTCCGTTATGGATATGGTAGTATTTAGACTAAAAATGGTTTATTTACGACTCAAAATGTTGACAATGGCACACGACCAGTCCCCACAACTAATTTAAGGACATAATTTTTATTTACATTTACCCTCAAACGTCGCTATAAAGATGATCAGTCACAATCGGTGATAGAAATAAGACGCGCAAAGTCGTAACAAAGGACTATCTTATCCTACCAAATCTAATTCACGCAGCTACATTGATTTTATAAATAATTCCTATTGAATTGATGACGGAACGATTCTCTCCTAAAGATTGCTTTAAATTATTCATTGGAGGACCATTCGGCCTTCATTTATATTGGATACTTTCCTTTGATCGTTCATTACGCTCCGCCCCAGATCTGATAGTTTATCAGTTTCTGATAAAACGACAATACTTTTTATTATTTTTGTTTTAAAAATTGTCTTTCTGATTTTATTTTTTGTTTTAAATCAGGTTAAATTGCTTTAATGATTACAGTAACATGATTTTGAGTTATCTAAGCTCTTTTGCTAAATGAAACGTATCGTATGTTTATGTGATATTATGATTCGTAGTACGTGCTAGTTATATTATGCATGAACCGCTTATGGATAATAGCGCGAAGGCCTTACTTTATTCTTAATAGTAATTCATCATTAATATCTATTGCTGTCACATTATTATAAGTGTTAGATTTGCGATCCTATCTCATGTTAGATTGAAAGTCTGCAGATGAAATCCTAAAGATACAGTGCCAACAAACAACGAGACAATAATTACGTATCAAAATGTAATTAAATACGAAAATATTTCACATCGACATTATTGTTATTTTATGTCTTCGTAATGCTAAGGGCTTTTATCAGGCCTCTGTTAATTAAGTACAATGATGAAGGACAGATAATATTGTTACAGCGGTCACGCTCATATTGCATTCTCTTCGAAAATGTAATCACTAGGATTATGTGCTTATGAAATGGGATTCCAAAGCATTATTTTCTATAACTATGTATATACCTCGAGAACTCTTTTATCTCAGACATGCTTACCGTTTTTCAAAGAAAATTACACTTATTTTTTATTAAAATAGTACTAAGTCGATAATATTTTTCCATTTGATATTTTATTGTCTCAGCTTTAGGTGGGACGTGTCTCACGTTACTGGGCTTACTCCCGCAGACTCAATAATGACAATAGATGTTTGTACTTATCTATTTTTCTGGCAATTCATGTACTCACAGGTCAGTGTCACTGGTCTGCCAGCAATTTTCACATTTATTATATAAAGCAAAGCCTCCCTAACACGAGTAATATCCCCCGAGTCACGTTCACCAATAACGTATCGCAATTGCTCGGCTTAAAATCTCAACCGTTTATAAATAACTTATTACAGACTGTTTTAAAGGTCTATGAACGTTTAAAGACGCTCTATGAGGTTTAAATTGAATGAAAAGTTTCACAAGATTTCGCTTGAAAAGGTTACGAAAGGGTAATTAAAGAGAAAAAACTCTATTTAATCGTAGTCGAGTTAGATTTGAGAACCTATTACACAGATTTATTAGTATAAGACAGTGGACTGTCGAAGCAAAAACTGTTCACATTGATTAATTCTCTCTATTAATAAAAACGTTTCGCCATGAAATTTTAATAAAATAACTCGCGAGTGTGATACAAAGAGTGCGCGCGTCGCGTGTGACGTGGATAGATGTGTTCCACTTTGTACCGCGGCATTAGACCCACTACTAATATGACGAGAGATGAATGCCGGATTACGCCATCGTCACTTTTCATGCGTTATATACGATCCCACGGACTAGAGGACCAAGGCTTTTTGTATTGTTTATCCTTGTTACATGAGGACGTTGCGGATAATGGCCTGATATGTTTCTTTTTAAACTTGCTTGCGCAATATTATTCCGAGTTAGGAGGCCTTCTGATGTCTATCATGTTTGTTAGTGGACATCATCACAAGCTAATTAATCTATTTTAGGCAATTAGACATTACAAAATTTTATCAGTATGTGCTATATATGTACTCACAAATGTGTAAACACGTTTTGTGCAATCACAGTCAAAATTGACCCTTATTTTTATGACGTAACGTACTACAATCTCTTCGCTACCATCTACATTAGGACAGGTAAAGCCAATTTTAGTTCATAAAAGCAAAATGTAATTTTTCGTAAGTACCTCCAATTTTACCCCTTTTACTATTTTCGCTCATTTTATTTAGGTTTTCATTGCCGGATATGATTACCTCGCTTGTAATTCGAGGGTCGTCGTGACCCGCCCTTCGTAAAATATGTAGGAACAATTTCAATGCGACATTATACATTCCGTTTGAGTATAGCATGTGCTTTGTAACAAAATGTGTGTAATTAAATTTCGTATAGGTATATAGTAAGATATTATACTAATTGACGTGCAGATTGTATTTATAAACATCTTAGAGTGCCAGCTAATATAATATGTACAAACGAGTTTAATGGTAGACTCGTGATTTGCCTTAATGCATGCACTTTAATAAATGTTCGCTAGGGTAATTTAATTTATGATAATAGCGTAATACAATTACTTATTGCAATAAGAGTTAAAGAGCTCTCTATTACTGATATAATAATCTGGGCTCAGTTTTCTTTTACCGCTAACTTTTTCACAAAAATTGAATCACAATTAAGTAATAAGGATAAAAGTAAAGAATTTGTTTCTACGGCTGTGTATGGAATACTGAAAACATTTTATATTAATAATCTAATTTATATTTGCTTTAGGCAAGGTCCAAACTTGTTTTTCTAATTAAAATATATTTAAAAGGTTTTTTAAGTGCCTGGGTACTCGTGTAACTTTGTTTTAATTTCGGTTCTGCATGATTTTGTATTAAATTTATTTGAATAAGATTAAGTGAGGAAGTCGAATGTTACCATAATTTTACCGAGCTAAATCTATGGTAGCAATGTCTAAAATATCAATGGCAGCAATGTACAAAATATGACCTATTAGATACAATATAATTTGTAATGTAGAACGAAATGAGCTTGATAATGAACACAACCAATGTCAGTCTATGACAGGTGGCTTAATTCCGATACTAAATGCAATTTAGATTTGTTGTTTTAAAGCCGTTATTGGAACTATTTTGTGTAAACCTTCAAATAGAAATGTTCCTTATTACAAGATTCTCAGAATGTAGGTATATTTTTGAACTTATGAATGTATATTTTGAGAACCTAACTATGACTTACAGTCTATACATATACAGTATATACAGTTTGTATTATTCTTTTTAATATTTATATTATATTTAATATTTTGAAGAGATATTTTAACGATCCATGATTTATCAATGATTCCATGATCAAAATTAAATTACACCAATGATCCTGGGTGTGAATACTAGAGGTATATAATATTGGAACGTTCACAACCTAATTTGGAGAGTCACAAGTGTAAGGTGTAGATTCCACTACTTAACACAAAAACTCCTAATAGAAAGAACATAAAAAAGCATATATACGGTCGAATTGAGAACCTGATTATTTTTTTAAAATCGGTTAAAATCGAATCACGAAGAATAAACATACACCAAATAACCTGCTACCAATTCTAATCTTAGTTTCATACTAGTTGCGTTATAAAGTCACCTTCGACCGTAAGTATCACAGCCATGTTTATCTTCGGTTCCGTGTTGATCTGACACTCGTAGACTCCTGCGTCCCTCGGCTGCACGTAGTCTATCTTCAGGTCCCAGTCGTCTGAGGGCTCAGGGTGCAGGACGCTGAACCTCGCGTCCCCCGTGTATGTGAAGATGTGCGAGGTTAGGATATGAAGGTCACGTTTCCTCATCCATGATACCTGGGGAAAAGGGGATAGGTTAGTCCAATGTAGGATGAGCTGTTGTGGATGAGATCAGAATTTGTGAGGCGAATGACATTATTAGCTTGTGTAAAAATGACTCAGTTACTAAACGCCGGATATGATCCAGTCTGATACAAACTTCGATAAGACCTTTATATTAATTATGCGTATGTCTAATTGAATAACATCCAGTTAACCTAAAACATGAAGCAACACAGTATCTCAAACGTCAATAATAACTCAATTATCAAACGTCCAATGTAATTCCAAACGTCAAGTTTGCCTATAACATGAATTACCAACTTGAGCCCCGTGGGCTTCAAAAACTGGCCAACTTGACTCCAACATCAGCATTTTCGAATAAAGTCGGCCTAAAGTTCGCAATCCAACTTTACCTGACGAATATCAATTAGCAACCACTCCATATTACTCCGAGCGCCTATCGCTCGTCTGGTAAAATTAGGATGAATATCGTTAACATCAGTATTCAATATACCGGTCCAGTACGAGCTGGTCCCTTTTTGATTAGTGCTCCAATATTGATCTGTGTCTGTTAATATTAATAGAATATGGCGGTCCTCTCACTATTCCCTTTATCCATCTATTCGTAGAAACTGAAGTGTGGTTCGGGAATAGTGTCTCGAGTCCCGAGCACTGAATCTGTAGGGACTCGTACATACGTGCTCCGAAATAGTTATGGACAAGTTGCCAACTTAACACCTTCACGTACTCGTACTTGTGCCACAACTTGCGACACTTTTGTATTAAACCTATCCAGTTAATGTTTTGTCGTGGTTACGCCTAAATATGTTAAGGAATTATGTTAAAACTATTGCAAAATAAAATAGTTTCTTATTGTGATGCAAATTGCAAGTATATTTATAACTAGTATTGACAATCTGCTGTCCGTTTTGATGTAGTTAGTGTGTAATATAGAGGTAATATACTAATGGCATGTTGTATGTATGTATATGCTCAACGTTATTCGTTTCAGATGAGTCGGTTATCTTGTGACAAGGTTATCGTGCCGACTTAGAATGAGCCATATAAACATGGAAAGCGTGCCGGCCTCACAGAGCCGGGCGACTTATTTTTCCGTGCGCCTACATCACAAAGAGATAGGCTCGTGCCCTTTGATTAAAATTACACCGACAATAAACGTTTGAATTATATTTTTAATTCGAGAGCTCTCCAGACTGAGAAATTAGAAAATAAATTCCCCTCCCTTTTGTTGGGTTTTTGTTTTTCTACGTAATTAGAGTAAGCTGGGGTGAGCCCGTAAGTCCGCCCTGTAATTAAGCAAGATGGAACGTCCTCAGACTGTTTACAGCCTTTAAAATAATAAAATTAAGTAACGGCTAAGCGACTGAGAGGTTTTTTTTCAATTCCTCTCGAGCGCCTGCAGAAATTTGATGAATTAACCTCAGCATTGAAATGGGTCAGTCGACGTCGCTTTATGTTTCCGCAAAAACTGTGCAGGATATTTGTTTATTTTATTATCCTCGTCAAGGGCTAAGGAAGATTTATTCTGTCCTGCTCGCGGTATATTCTGAAGAGGAAATGTGTAGGATTTACTAAGATCATCCGCGAGTTTATGACAATGGACGGCGCTAAATGTTTATTTACAAGAAATGGCGCACTTTATACAACTTTATTCACAAACTGAATAGGTGTCTTTGAACTTATAAAGCTTTGGCACACTGTTTGAAACTCTCAGAAGAGATCAAATAAAATCGATGAAGGCATCACTTCATACCGGGACGGGAACATCCAGGAAGAGGGAGAAATAAACAGGCAATACTGTGCGAATAAAGCAATGTTTATAAATTACACAATATTGGACAAAACAAGTCCGCGGCCAGTGGAAGAGGAAACACGGACGATATAACTATACATAAAGGTGTACCGGCATCGCCTGCGGTGACCCAAATAGTACATTTGTGCCAAATTGCTGTCAAAGCTATTTTAACGAGTATGATCATTATGACAATATCAGTCCATTACAAGGGTCATTTCAGCGTTGATTTTCGGTAATTTTACGATTGAAAGAATGTTTATATGGAGGAAACATTTGGTTAAATTGTATCGATTCCTGTTTTAAGTGGCAGCTGCTGTATCACTGCAGACATAATTAGCATAATAAAATCATTATTATCGTTTAACTGAAACATTTACACATACATTCCTGCTACCGTTTTACCCATGGTGCCATTATCTTGTAAAACAACAAAAGCTTATAAAAACGCCAGTAACTTAAACCGTTTCCACTCAGCATACATTGAACCCAACACAGAAACCCCATCACGACGGCATAAAAACAGAAAAAATCCTAAAAAGGGGTTCGTAATCCACGAGGCCTTTTTACAAGAAAATGACGGCAGATAATCCATGCCGAACAATATATTATAATGCATCGTAGGACATGTCAGATGGCTATTTATTTTCTCGAATGGGTTGGGGATCCCTCAACCATTAATATGGCGGCCAGTGGACCGAACCTGAGGAGGGATATCGAACCAATGAGGACATCGACATTGAAAAATGATATTTCGAGAGGTTGCCAGGTGGCCTGCAGCCCTTATGGGAGCAGAGGTCATGTGAATTTTGATTTGTATGTTTCAATCTGTTTCGGTGGTTAGCTTAGGTTCACACTACGTATACATTCTGAATTTTTGATTAAGAAAAAATATGTTTTATGGTAATTTGACACTCATTCGTCTCATTGGAAATGATAATAAGATGAATTAGTTGTTTACATATTATAATTTCAAATTTCATTAGTGTAGAGTAAATGCACACAATTACAGCTGAAGCGATGCATCAGTCATCACTCAGCCTCGCTACATATACATTGCTGGCGTCGGTTTAGTTACAAACCGTATGTATAGAGCATAGTAATCAAGGTATTAATGACTAAGATAATAACCGCTTGGGTTAATATCTCGGTCGACTGACCGAAGGGGATATGACCGCAATCATTGGCGTAATAATAGTAATTTATGTTTCGGATTATGTTGATGGAATGCCCCGGACTTGTAACATGTCTCAGACGATAGTTGTAAATCTTGATTAAGGGATTCCAAGTTTTGATTTAGGAGTGCGACCAGTAGAAATAGTAGAAGGGAGTAATGAATACAGCAGTAAATATCCTCAGGTTCAGTTTGTAATTGATACTGTACAAGTTTGTTATTTGAAGTGGACGGCGAGGGATCGAGAGGCGACGGGAGCGTCACGAGCGTCGACTGGGTTTGTTGTCACTCTATGAACTGCTATTTATTCTAGGTAACTAGTTCACTGCAGACTACTTCTTACTCTATTTTATAGCTGATTTATGGAGCAAACGAATGAAAAGAGTCGCGTCTTGCGCAAATAAATTTAAATTAGAAGTCGCAGCACAGCGCTGCAGTGGCGTTTATGTGTCTATTTATTCTTTAAAGATTTTTTGCTGCTATATAATTGATTGTTAGTAAAAATAAATTACAATTTCAGGAAGTTTGAAGAAAAGTAAGATATGTCAAAATAAAAACTTATGAACATTTTTTAAACAAGGTTCTTGTTCTTTCCTGTAGAGAAGAAAAAACAAGAACGACCAACATTTTACCCATAGGTAACATAATTTAACGTAGATACTCACAGTTCTATTCCCTATGTGCTTGGCCCGGCACCGGAGCACGGCTGCCTGTCCGACGACGGCGGACACGTTCCGAGGCGACACGTCGTCGAAGTAAGGTCGTTCCGGACGCGTGCCGTCGCCGCCGCTCACGCCCGGTAAACCACCTGCAACAAAAGTATATTCTAACTTAGTTATTGTCAAAAGTACAAATTCTACCTTACAGTATTGGTAATAGAAGACAGTTTTACAAAAATCAGAGTAGATCTTCATAGCAATTATGCACAACGAATAATTTTGAATGACCGACAAAGTTTGCATGTATCCGTACATAGGCACATGTATTTGAAATAGGCAAAGGGCAATTAAAAAGATTTTATTAATTGAAGAACCATAAATTGCGAGTAATTAAGTCGTAAAGAGTAAGTTGGTGGTAATCTTTGTTGCCCCCGCTCTGTTTCTCACGACAAACTCCAAACATAATTAAAGTATTTTTGGTGACTCCAACTTCAGAGCGCAGGAGACGTCATAAATAATTAACAAGTTTAAATGGCGGGATCTTGTTTTTATTTTAATGGCTTTCACATTTAATGACTCACATACTAAATTATATAATAACTGGTCAATTCCTTAATAACAGGTCACCAACTCAGTAGGTCAACCATGACTTGTCATCTAAATGTTATTCAATCAATTCTTAATTATTCTGAAATGGAAAATCCGACTGCCTCGTGGGCTGAGTGGTCACACGTAAAACTGCCGGGTAAGGGATCTTGGGTTCAATTTCCTGGTCGGACAAAGTAATACTGGATTTACAAAAAAGAATATTAGTAGTAGCACGGATTCTGGAATCGAGCCCGGTATATGGCAATAGACTCACCCATGGGACTCACAACATAAAGGATGTTACATTGTACAGTGGTATTAAATGCCGTAACGTGTACCTCTGCATACTCCTTTGGGGATAAAAGGCGTGGTGTTACCTACGTTATGTTATGGAATACGTTAATAGTTAAAATGATTTTTTGTATAATACAATAATATCAACTTAAATAAGGTCACCTCCAAATTAAATAAGGTCAGAACATAATTTAATACTTGTATACAAAATACGAAATACAAATGTGATCCCTTGACAAGGAGTCGTGTGATTCGTGGGGATACAAGCAATTATCCCTCGCGACAACTTGAATGAAATCTTGGAATTAACAAATACGAGTGACAGCGCGCCACCTGAGGCCGACACACGACGCGCCGTCATTTGCATACTGTTTGTGTTCGCTACACGCTCCACGCGCTGGCCGGCTGCTGGGCGGCTGCTGGGCCAATGTTGGGAGACGGATGACATGCATCTGTCATAAAGGTTGATTTGGGAATAAATGTAGGTGTCGTTGTATTTAAATGAATAATTGGGCTGTAACAACTTTTCCTCGTCAGGTAAATAAAACAGCTGCTATAGTGATTAGAAGGTATAATAAAATATAAAGATATACGATCAAGTGGGTTCTTTAATATTCACTAAGACCAACACGTGAAAAGTCCATCAATCAATACCACTGCCCTGATAGATCGGCGAATGCTTTGTCGGCCACTAGGGTAGTCCGGTGGTCGTCGTAGCGTAGTTGGTAAGTTGTTGTAGGGTAGTCCAAATAATATCAGCGAAGTCCGGCACCGGAGCGGTGAACCCTCTAGTAAACGTAGGTAGAAGAAAATAATATTTAAGTAACGCGGCACGTCCGACCTCAGTGTCGTCCAGTTAGCTCTGCCACAGTTAAAATTCTACCGCGCGCGCTGCCTATCGATCCCTCCACGCGATCGCGTCGTGAACTGCTAAACATACTGTGCCTCCCGAGTTTGCTTATGAATTAATATTTAATTGGTTTTAGTTCATATTAATATTTTTAATTTGTACAATAATGTAAATAGTAACTAGCGTTAACTTTATGAATTAAGTACTTATTTATTTTAGTATTATTTTGAAGTTTGTTTCGAACCTGAAGTGAAGAAATCGTTACAGGGCTTATTATAAGACACAAAAGATAATTAGTTTTGTTAGAAAATACGTATATAAAAACCAAGCTTTTGCACCAAAATTATAAGTTTAGAAACTGAAAGCTACGTTGGGCTTCAATATGCCAACGTTCAATACCAATATTTACCAAATTGGTTAAAAAATGTACAAAATTTTTAGAGTAAAATAATCAAGACTTTAAAATTTTCACCGAAATCTTTTCAATTTAGACGTCCCTAGCGAACTCAATTTTGCTAACAAAACATTGGTTAAGCGACTATCGTATGCGAGCGATTTTGGGCAAACATTGGCGCCAACGTGGTGTCGTCAGCCAACGTAATATGCCGCAGCCGTGTTTACAGAACTAAGACATGTCCCGAGATGTATCTGACAACACAAACATAACTTGATTATTTAAGTTACGAACATTTATTGCGTTCGATGGTACACAGATTTTCATATGCAAACATCTTAAGGTGAATGTGTGATCTTGTTATGTGGACATATTTATAGTATATTTATTTATTTATTTATTTATTTAAAAAGCTTTATGCACACAAACAGGCACATGGGTGGACTTAATGCCGCAGGCATTTTCTACCAGTCTGACCCTTGGGTGATGCAGAGAAAGTAATCAGCGGGTGCAAAACATACGTTGAATTTAACTATTTGAAAGAACACATACATAATTCGACAATATACACAATATATATATACTACTAGTATATTATGTTTTTAAACGTAAACACATGACACTACTTACATTTTTCTACCACAAATCTCGGGATATTTATTCCATTATAAGTAAATAATTCAACTCGCAAAACTCATTACAATAAGCCCAGTAAAATGTTGTTTAAAAATTGCATTATAAAAGTAAACATAATCAGTGTTATATATTATTATAATGCAACAAATTTAATAAAAATGCTAACAGCCTAATTCTTAAAATAAGATGTTTACTTTCCCTCGAGGGAGGCCTCATTCTGTAAGAATTACACTCTAAACTGTTTTACTGTTTGCTTAGAGTAAAATGAAAATATAAAACGTGCCTGTTTTACCGACCAATTTCTCAGTTACACCGGTTTTGTTGTACTTTCAAACTAGAACGAATACCTGTGTATTATTAGGTATGCTGTAATGTAAATACAAGTTACGAAAAGTGTCATCAAATATTTTCGTGTGTAATACAACGTAGAGAAAAAAAAACTTGCAAACATCTTCCTCGTACGTATTGGTTTAGTTCGGAGGAGTGCTGTAAAAGTTTGCATCAACTAAACAAACAATGTGTATTCAAATCTCGGAGATTAAGAAAACAAAAACAACATATTATTATTGGAATGTGTCGGTGAGCGCTGTTCGTTTCCGGTTACGTGACGTCACACCCGCCGAACCGGAAATAAGAACGGAGCCTTTGCCCGCCCTCTTATAAAGGAAACACGGCAGAGCACATAAAGTTGCGGTGGGGCCACTAGAACGGCGGGCCACTTGTACCACATTATTACAAGGAAAACTTTCACAAAAACTTCTTTATTTGAAAATAAACATTTTGACCAACATTTATTGTAGCCTGAGTGAATCTTTTATACTGTTACACGGACTTTTGTTGCTTTTATACACTGTATAACACAAAGTATACAACCGTGAAGTAGGCAAATAATAATACAAGCCTACATAATGCTATCTCTTTGGGGTTAACGCTGTACAAATCTAAATTATAATACAGCCACAATTACGAAAGCATTCGATTTTCTGTTACTTTAAACTGAATATTTATATAGTGCCTGAAGATAATACATACACATATTTATTTACACAACACAATTTCTTCACATGCTACTCCCAAAACAAGACACGAGAACAAGACGACTCGCTGCCCTCCGAGCCCAGTACGATAAGTCTGCGGTGCAGTAAGAAAATGGAAATGACAGCGATGAAGTTCTTTTGTGAGTCGAGTCCGCGAGTACCAAGGTTGGGAAGCTTTTGTCTTTTGTCTGTGTGTACAACAGCCTTACATGTGTTACTAACAGGTATCTGATAGCTCTGTCTTCATTCGTTTGGCTTTGACAAATTTCAAAGCATTTTTTTATCATTATGTTTTTCGGGTAACTCACGTAGGTGTTTGACGAAAATTCAACTAATAGTTACGTGGCACGTCGTGTGTCGCGGAATGCCGCATATCATCAAATTCCTAATCCCCAAAAGGCTGGTAACGTACTTGTAACGCCTCTGGTGTTCCGGGTGTCCATGGGCGACGCTGATTGTTTACCATCAGGTGATCTATCGGCTCGTTTACCGGCTTATTCCAAAAAAAAAAATATGAGTCTCTAGTATGTCTTGAAACTAGTCGAGATTCTCGTCAAACAATTACATGAGGAAGCCGAAGACACAATATTTAATTCAATATGGCTCACGAAAGATATAATATAAGCATTTTTTTGTAAAGGATTTGACAACTTTTGACTAAATGTTTGTCTAATTTGTACATTATTGGAAGACGTAAGTTGATTAGTCAAAAGTTTGTTGTCATAGGAGTTCCACAGGGTTCCCATAGGTGCTCATAGAACTTGTAATTGGAAAAACAACGAGGTTTAAAGCTTCTCCCTCGTTTCGAGTAAAATTTCACTTTTGTCTTAATTTCTAAATTAATAGACAAAATATATTTGTTAGTCTAGAAAATGTTGGAACAATATTTTCCCTAAGTGACGCAAAAATGTATTGCCATTTAAGGCTAAAACCAGCGTACTTTATGTTGGATTACCTAATAATATTAAAATATTTAATTCTACATTTCATTTTTAGCAAGAAATAAATATCAAAGAACTAAACTCATTAATTTAAAATCGTAAACAATTAGGACGGTTATATTTTCTTAAATTAAATAAGTAGGTACCGTAATTTATTTACGAAGATTCCTAGAAAACTATAATAAGGAGTTTGGTATCAAAGAAAATATTTATTTATTTAATTTAATTAATATTGTTAATGTTGTTTAGCCACGAAATAATATTTTATCTCCAGTAACTTGAGTAATATCCAAGATATTACCTGGATATATTTGTATTCCTAGAAAATTTGCTTTTGAAGATTCTAATATTTTTTCTTCAATCTCTTTTCATAAAGGGTATATTTTTATCTTATACAATGCTTATGCCT